CTACCGGTAAGTCCTCAGGAAACACATCACTAAATTCACCAAGCAAAGGCCTCACCTCCTTTGGAGCCTCCACACCTTTCAGGTCAAGCCCCTTGTTAATTGAAGCATACACAACACCGGTCTCTTTTAGAGCACTAGTGAAATCAGTCATGGCAAAAAGGCTAGAACCCTTCCCCGGTTTCAGTTTAGTCTCTTGTGATGGACATAAGGTCAGACTTTTCCCTTTAAACTCAAGAAAATAGGTGTTCTTTCGTCCGTCATGAACATCAAATTGCCAAGGGCGCCCAAGTAGCAAATGGCAGGCATTCATGCATACAACATCACACCATACATGATCACTATAATTGTTGCCAATAAAAAAGCTCACTAGACACTGTTATGTGACTGAAACCTCATTCTTTCTTTTTAGCCATACAAGCTTGTAGGGTTGAGGGTGTTGTTGAGTTTTTAAGTTCAGCTTGCAGATGGCTACTTCCACTATAACATTCCCACAACTCCTGCTATCAATTACAAGGCTTGCAACTTTCCCACCCATAGTACACGTGGTGTGGAAAATATTATTTATTAGCCAATCTGATGATTCATCCCTAAGAGTTAGGAATGATCATTGCATCACCAAGGCCTCTCCCACATCCCCATACACCATTTCTCCCTCTAAGATTTCTCATTATAAGAGTCAAACACAGGAGGGGCTAAACAGTCAAATGCTTCTAATTGAGTTTCACTCTCATCTTCTACAAACATCGCCCCTTTTCTTTTATCACCCCTCACACATTCAACAATTTACGGCCTGGTTCACCACATTTAAAACAGTCCAAGTGAACCCACCTGGCTTGGATTAGGTCCACATCCTTGGTTTTGATTCAGTCCGCGGGACTGCGGCTGATTTGAAGGCGGGTTAGGATTATTACATGGGGTGGTCTGGCCACATTAGTTTGGGTTCGACCGAATTGGTTAGGTCAACTGCTTTGTTTTCTATGGTTAGAGCATGTTGATGTGCCATAAAAACATCATAGCAGTCAAATAGGTCTGATATATCCCGAATATTTGGTCTCAGCCCACCTATATACCTAGCCACCAATTGGTCTTCGGTTTCAGCTAACTCATTCCAGACCACTAATAGATGAAACTTCTTTGTATATTCATCTACTTTATCAGTTCCTTGCTTTAGATTTTGCAATTCTTGATAAAGTAAACGAATATAATTATGGGATAGGATTTCTGACCTCATCTTTGTCTTGAGTTTCTCCCATCTCTTAATCTTTTTCTTGCCTCTCCTCTGCCGCATAACCTTCAATTGATGCCACCATGCTGTTGCTCGTCCTCTAAACCGAGTGGTTATTAAGGACACAACCTTCTTTTTCGAAACTTCCTAGAATTCAAAGATTTCTTCTACTGCGAAGAGCCAATCCATTCTTCTAGAGTCATGCCTCCTTGGAATTCCAGGATCTCAACCTTGAGACCTGCTTCCCACCGTCTCTGATCACTACCTGCAACTACAGTCGATCTAGTTGCTTGCCTTGATGATGAAAGGGAACACGTGGAGATACTTGCGTCGGAGTCGTTGTCCCCTATTTCCGACCGAGAACGTAGCGACTTCACCTCCTCAGCAAGTGCCTCGATTCGTCTTCCCAGCTCCGCCATTTCCTCTTGTGTTTTGTTGTTGAGTTCATGCTCCATGATGTGAGCTACTAGTTTCTTCTTAGGAGCCATAATCAGAAGAAGGATCAACTTTTGAGCTCCCATACTAAATGACGCAGTACGGAAACGAAACACGTGAGAAAAGCTTCAAAGAAAAGAGCAGAAGTCAAATTTTAGAAAGAATAATTCTTCACTAAACAATTAAGAGAAAATTGATAACAAGAGAACTGTCTTAGCCTTCCCCTAACTACTCTTTATATAGGCATACACCCTTATGTCTCCTAATCCTAATTTGAAAACACTCCATAATAGAATCCTACTAAAATCTTTCAAAAGGAAAGTCTTAATTGAATATAAATTCGAAATAATGCTATCTTGGTAAAAACGAACTAAGATGGAAACTCTAAGATGGCGCCAACTTGGTAAAAACGTACTAAGATAGAATTCCTGTGATGATGCTATATCGGTAAATATTTACTAAGATGGACCGGTGGCGTCATTTCCACTTCTTACGTGTCTTGGAATGGTCCCAACTTGCATAGAACTTATTGGCCTTCTCCTGTACTGCATCAAAACGGAAATGTACAACCCATTGCATTTCCAAACACCTGTCCTACAACCTTCTTTCCCCTTCCTACTATTCCTTTCTTGCCACTGTTTCCACACATGTGACTCCTAGATCTATCCCAGAAGCCTTGTCCAAACCAGAATAGAGGAATGCTATGATGACTGAATTAGATGCTTTGCATAAGAATACTTGGGAAATTGTGGATTTGTTTGAGGGAAAGGAACCGGTTGGCTGTAAGTGGGTGTTCACTATCAAGTATCATTCAGATGGTACTATTGAAAGATTTAAGACTTGTTTGGTTGCTAAAGGATACACACTCATATGTATGGTATTGATTACCTAGAGACTTTTGCCCCAGTGGCCAAATTGACTTCAATTCGAGTTTTTCTATCTTTATCTGCTAATTTTGATTGGCCACTTCATCAATTTGATGTTAAAATGCTTTCTTGAATGGGGACCTACATGAAGAGGTCTATATGTCTTTACCTCCAAAGGTGTATGGGAAGGAGATGCAAGGGAAGGTCTGTAAACTTTAGAAGTCCCTTTATAGCCTTAAAGTCTGGTTTGACAGATTTCGAGCTGCCCTTGTTACTTTTGGGTACACACAGACTCAGTCTGATCATACCTTGTTTGTTAAGAGGAGAGATTCCTTAGTGACCTTTCTGATTGTCTATGTTCTTGATATTGTGGTTATTGGTAATGATACTCAGGAAGTTACTCATCTCAAAAGATTTCTTAACACTAACTTTGAAATTAAAGACTTGGGTAAACTTAGACATTTCTTGGGAATTGAAGTTGCCAGGTCTAAGGATGGTATCTTCATTTCTCAACATAAGTATGTTCTTGATCATCATGTAGAGACTAGCAACTTGAGTGCTCAACCAGCTTCCACTCCTATAAACCTAAATCATAAGCTATCAGCTATTATGGTGAACTATTGATTGATAGGGGAGTGTTCCAGAGACTAGTTGGGAAGTTATTATATCTTTGCATGACTTGACCAAATATTTCCTATGTAGTTAGTGTAATTAGTGAGTTCATCCATTCTCCCAGAGATGCACATTTAGCAATTGCTAAGAGGGTTCTGTGCTATCGAAAAGGGATTCTAGGGAAAGGTATCTTGTTTGCTAAGCATGGACACATGAAGCTAAAAGCATACACTGATGCTGACTAGGCTGGATGTATTGATGATATGAGGTCCACTTCAGGTTACTGTGCTATGGTGGCAGGAAACATTGTATCATGGAGGAGTAAGAAGCAGTCTGTAATGGCTAGATCCTCAGCTGAAGCAGACTACAGAGCAATGACACATGGAGTTTCTGAACTTTGGTGGTTGAGATCACTTTTAGAAGAATTGGGTATAGGCTGTGAAAAGCCAATGATGTTATATTGTAACAACCAGGCCGCTATCAACATTGCACATAATCTTGTTCAACATGACAGAACTAAGCACATAGAAGTTGACAAGCACTTTATACGGGAGAGAATTGCTTCAAGAGAAGTCTATCTGCCATTTATTGCTTCTGAAGAACAGTTAGCTAATGTTTTGACAAAAGGTGTTCCTAAAAAAAAGTTGGTTCACTATATAAGCAAGTTGGACATGATTGATATCTATGATCAGCTTGAGGGGGAGTGTAGAGAGACTGGGCCGAATGGGCCCTAGCCCATTATTATCTTATTGGTTAGTTCTTTCTTTTTATTTATTCTTAATGGGCCTTTTCTTTATGGACCTTTAATTCTTTTTATGTTTTCTAAGTATGTTGATGAGGCGGATGCCCACTTAAGGGAAAACTTGTAACTTATGTAATCTTAGTAAGATTAATAAAAAATTAGAGTGGAGAAAGAGGAGATTATGGAAGTCCTTCGCCATTCTTTCTTCTTCCTCTTGTTGCCTTCTTCTTCTCTTCCTCTTCTGCTATAATCTGAAATATTTTTACTATTTCTTATTGGTCTGAATCACATCTAATCATGCATCTCCTGTAGCGTATATTGCAACAAATGAGATTCCTTGGCATTGCTATAGCCTCTAATCACACCACTAGAATCAACTTTTACTAGAAGTACCAGCATAATCCAATAACCCATGCCTATGATACCAATAAGGGTTAGATAGCAAAAAAAGTGACACCTATAAGGGTTTCAAATCATATTGGATACTTCAATTTTTGGGGTAAAATCCATATCCGAGACCTTGTTCACCACACATGTCCTTTCAGTATTTGGGTAATATAGACCCATGCCTATGTTTTATTAGGACCCTAAACAGAAAGGCAACTTTTAGAATGTCATCACCACCTCTAATGAGGACCATTCTATACACAATCATAACCAATCACATTCAAAATTATCCCTCCCATAGATAGGCACTACCATCTGGCACCAATCAACAAGTCAAAAGCACCTTATCATGTAGGACCTTCTGGGTCTGCTTATTGAAATGCAACAACATATATTTGTGCCACTAAAGGCCATCATCCAATGTGTCCCAGTTATAGGTCAAAAGCACCCTTTCCTGTGAAGCCACGAGGATCTACTTAGTGAATCACAACCCTTTAAGATATTTTCCATGCATCACTGCATCTGCATAATATATTTGTACCACTAAAGGCCATTATCCAATGCTGGTCCCAGTTATCTAGGGTCTTGGATGGGGAAAACCAATAGTTCAAAGTCAAATGATCATATTTACATTCTACCACTTTATATGTATATTTCTGCCTCAATACAAGCTAGTTAACCTTTTCAGGCATCAATTGCCATGGTAGAAAAAGTAGTTGGTGAGTTGAACTACCTCATTTTGAAGATCGTCATCCACGTCTGAGAGCTCATCTATAAGATCCCCTTCATTTTCTGAAGAGGGGTTGGAGTGAACATGTTCAGATTCTCTAGGAGAATTTTCAAGAACCTGCAAGAATCAAATATGCAATAAACAAGAACATTGAAACCAAGATCCAAGAGAAAGAATTAAGTTATTAAAAAAAGAGTAATTAAGGACCAACATAGAGAAATGCAAAATGCTGTAATCACTTCTTTCTCTTATGAATGACAAGAAAAGAATTACTACATCAGAGATGCAGAAGAAGATACAAAAGGGACAAGGCCTGAGGTCCCAACAAAAGATACAATGCACCGGATCACCTACCTAAAAAATTGTCTCTCCGACCCCCAAAAGAAAAAGGAAATTAAATGAAAAGAAAATTAGCGAATCTGCCATTCATTGAAATGAGGTAAAAAAAAAGAGATGCGCGCATATACACAACTGCAAACAATGTATACATAAAACCCACCTCCCAAAGAAAACTGATGTTGCATGGAAGCAAGAGAAAAATTTACAGAGCAATCAGTTTTCTCCTAATTCCTTATAATGAGAAAATGGGAGGAAGTGGTTCAAATGGGCACGCATAAAAAAATTACAAGGATGGATTGGAAACCCCTAGAGCCAAATAAATTGAAGCTGAATTTTGATGGTAGCTCCCTTGGAAACCCTGGGAGAGCAGGAACAGGGGGAGTATTTTGAATTCATCTTGGAGAAATTGTGGCTATGTTCTCATGACCAATTGGGAATGGAGACTCGGTTCAGGCTGAGACAATGGCACTCCTATGGGGACTGAAATTAGCAGAACATCTAGAAGCTAGAGATTTGGAAGTAGAAGGGAACTCACTCTTGGTCATTTCTTGGGCTAAGCAAGTAAATTCAGCTCCATGGGAATACAGATTTGCTTTCAGGGAGATAGACAGTCTTGCTAAGATATTTAACTCTACATTTGGGTGGGTTGAAAGGACAGCAAATGGATTGGCAGATAGTCTGGCAAAACAGGGGCTCGAAAGACCCACTCTTTTTTGGGCAAAATTGTAGCTGGCTGCATTACAATAGTGGGATGCTGTTCTATGTAATCTGGGACTTTTGTAATCCTATACTCTGGATTGCAGAGTAGCTAAAGAATCTGTAACCTGCTTTCATTTATTAACTAAATAAATTCTTTGCTGATCAAAAAAAAAAAAGCTTGCATGTCTATGCTTGACATCCTGTGCTGTCCACCCTGTGTGACACATTAGCCCATATAAAGTCCATGCAACACTAACAATGCTGAAAGCATGGCTGTATGAACTAATGTGTCATGTGGAGAGAGCCCGTGGACAGAACAGGCTGTCGAACATGAACAAAGTTTTCTCAAGCATTTCCAGTTTTGGTCAATTTGAGCCATTTGATAGTATTTTCTAGTTGATTGGAGTCTTAGGGATAGGGTTAGTCAATTTAAAAAGGTCAATTTAGTTTATAGAGTCTGATGGTTTGGCAAAACAGGGGGCCTTCAAGGAGAACTTTTTTGGGCTGTATTGTAACTAGGGCTGTTCATAAGAAGGCCCAACCCGACCAACCCGGACCGACCCAACCCGAGTCGGCCGGGTTTTCATCAGCACCGGTCGGTTTCGGGTTGTACAAATTCATAAACCGATGGTTCGGGTCGGTTTCGGTTTTCTTGTGTGAAAACCGAAACCGACCCGAACCGAACCAACTTAGTTCCTACTTAACTAAAAACTGAAATATCTGAAAATATATATTCCAATATCTATATCTAAAAAATATATATTATGAAATATGTCAGATATATATTTCCAGAAAATATATATTCTAATATATTTGTATGTATAGTTTTGTTTATATATATATA